TTTTCCCCCCCCTTTTTTGGGGACAGGCCCCCCCCCCCCCTTGTGACCCCCGGGGGATTTCCTTTCGAAAAATTTTTTGGTTTTAAGGAGGAAAGGGGGACCCTTTTTCCAAATTGGGAGAACCCCCAAGGGGGGGGGGGGCCCCCCAAAAAATTTTTGGACGGGGGAAAAAAGGGGGGGTTCCCCCCGCTCTTTGTTTTCCCCGAAAAAAAGGGGAAAAAGCCCCAATCCCTTTGGGGGGTCAAACTCCCGTAGGGGCCGAGGGCCCCCTTAAAGGTTTTTTCGCTTGTCCTCCCCAAAGGAATCGTGGGGAAAGGCCGTCCGACTCCCCCCCGCCGGGGGTTTTTCCTCAAAAATTTTGGCCCCCCCCTCGGGCCCCGGTTTGGAGGGAATTTGGGGCCCCAAACCCCCCCCCCCCTCCGCCCCCGCCCCGGCCTTTTTGCCCGCCCGCCCCCCCTGCCCGCCCCGTTACTTTTGCCCCCCCCCCCCCCCCCACCGCCCCCCCCCCCCCCCTTCCTGCCGCTCTCTTGCTGGGCGGCGCCCCAGTGCACAGCTCCTCCTCACCGGCTGGGTGCGTGAACCGTAGGCGTGCCTATTCCCGCACGACCCGCAATTTCGCGGCCGGCAGGTTGTGACGATGCACAACCAGCGCGATTTCGTCTTCTTCCGCCACCACCGGTACATCTTTGAGCAAAAGGAGGAGCGGGGGCAGGTCTCGGCGCGGCTGCAGGAGCTCGGCCCGCGCTTCACGCTGCGGCTCAAGTCTCTCCAGCTTGGCACCTTCGATACGCAGCACGGCGAGTACGAGTGGAAGCACAAACCGGAGCTCGACACGAGCCGCAGGCGCTTCCACGTATAGACGGCCCGCCATGTGTTTTACCGCCCGGGTGGTTGTGGTTGAGAGGGGAAATTTGGGAATGAGTGATGAGCATAAATAAATAAATAGAGCAGACATCTCCAGGAGAGATGGGCGACGCACGAACACATAGAGCAGACATCTCCAGGAGAGATGGGCGACGCACGAACACACACCCCCTCGTCTACTCGGCTTGTTGTGCGAGTATATGGGCCAAAAGCGTCGAAAATGTCCCAAAAAGCGTGTCTCGAGTTTGTTGCAGCTCCGCAGCCTGCGCGCGCTGCCGGGACGCACCGCTCGCGCGTTCGGCACACTCGGTGGACCCCACCGAGTGTGCCGAACCAACGGGAGTGAGTAGGCTCGACGCCGTACTCGAGATGGAGCTGCAGAAAGTACGCCGCCGAGCGTGCCACCGACGGCGTCCCGGCGGCGGTGATGGAGTGTGAGACCTGAGGCTGCGGAGGTGACGCCTGAGGTACCAGTCCGTGCACAGCGACTCAGCCGGCGACCGCCACGGGCTCAGACGAGACTTGTCGACGCGTTCCGGCTCAGCTTCACCGTGGTCATCGGGCGTCTGTCGACGTCAGGACCACCCATACAGCTCGCGGGTTTGAGGTCGCAAGAGCCAAGATGGTGGCGTTTGGACATCCCAACCATCACACAAGACAGCCTGTAGGTGGTGGCGGGACGGCGCAGTGTTTGTGGCACTCGGCAGTAGGCACCCGCGGCACGGCCCCGCTGTCGGCTCTCGCTGGCTGCGGAACCGGCCCCGGAGGGGGACGGTCCGGGCGAGTGT